AGATCATTTAATTAAATATTTCAATCCATTCGTGTTATTCATAATTCAAGAAAAGATATTTGATTGTTAATCGGGAATAAAAGGAAAGACCATTTTATTTTTCAAAAAAGTGAATTCAGAGTTTTCAGGTATTGTGATGAATTAGTTCATTATGTTGTGGTCTTTCCTCTTAAACCTTCTATAAATAAGAAACAGTAACACTTCACTTTTTCTTCAAATTACCTACCATAACCAAGGCACGTAATTGAGAAATTCTTCAAGATCTTGATTTTGTCATCTTACGCTTTTTAATGAAGATGGGAACATTGATAGGGAAATAGATTTGAATGAAGAAGTTTCGTAAAGAGCGCGAACGGTAGTGTGATGTAAAATTACTCATGCTAGAAATTTTCATAAAAGTTACCCGAAAAACGACGCTAACTCGGTAACCCGTGACCCGATTTTAACGAAACTTGTTTTATTCTGTTTCTATTCTCATTTCATTACAAATCTGGCGCAATTGTGCGCCGTTTTTGTTGTTTTTAATTACAGACAAGCAAACAAACAATCTCATAGTTTTAGTAGTATATAGATATCACCTGCTTTAAGTCAGTGGTTTGACGTGGTTGTCCTGATAAGCTGTCCGCCGGTGGGTCAACGGTAAGTTTATAGACTCACAATGCTAAAATACTGGGCTTAATTCCCCGCGGAGGACAGAACGTATATACAGTCCATCATGTAGCTTTGTCCTAAAACAAACAGTAAAACACAATACTTGAACAGATGGTTCGCGTGGAAGAACTGTTAAAGAGGCCATTCTGAAAACAAACAAACAAACTAGGAAGTGAGTGCGACGATTCTTTGACTTATGAAGTTCTGTTGGGTCATTTTGTAATGCTAAGGAGACTTACAGTTCTTTTACTAAACGGAGCATAACGTTTATTACCTCAATACAAACAGCTATGTACCTAATGCTGTCTATACCGGGGGCTTTCTTACCAACTTCTTTTCTGTCTGCATAAAATACATATCAGATTCTTCTACACTTTTAGCACTTTCATTTAGTCTGACATTCGCCTGTCTTTCTGCTACACTCGACATAGCCGAGCTCAGCTCGCGTGACTATTGCTATGTACGTACATTGTTGTTATTATTGATATACGTGTGGTGTTTTCTGGTACACTGATTCCCTTTCGATTAGTGGGATAATTGTGTGAGCATAACACGAGATTTGACTGACTTTGTTGTGTAAATGTTAAACTGTATTCCTCGACTCTTGACTGAGTTTTATTAGTTATTTTCATTTATATGTTGCTTCAATTTAATTGACTCATTCTTTATATACTATACTCATGAAAGATTTTCTGTAACATGTGTAATACAATTACGCCCAAACTTTCCAATCTATTGGTAGTGCTGGGTGTTTTTTGTTTTGTTTTGCACAGCTTCAGGGTGCTCATATCAATAAATTATAGGGTACTCAAGCATCCATGGAGTAGCATCACACACATATATATATTCATTCATACACGCATACTGCCATATACATATATCTCAACACTACACATTATTACATATACTAGTATCATTAGAGAGAATGCCTCCGGCTCATGCGCGTTTACCATGCTGACCAACACGGGCTACTTCTCGATAGCCACGGTATCATCATGTGGTGCCATCTATAACTCGTTAAACGCAATACATTTTTTCAGCATCATGAAATACATAATTACTGGCAGAATTCAGTCAATAATTCTTTCAGTGAGGATTAATATTCGTGCTTCCACTACTGTATATAACAGTACACTCTTACACCAACCTGGACTAAATACATTACATCTACTGTCCTAGATAGTTGCCAACACAAGTAGCAAGATCTTGTATCAACATTCATGAGTTGACTCATCTGCTTTAGATGGAAAAATAAATACAGACACATGTAGTGAAATAGACTACTTCGATTCACAACAGCCTGATTTATACTCTGTGCTAAGAAAAAACACAATTCCCTCACTTTACACGGATGAGTTGTATACATATACTCTTACTTATACTGGGGGAGAGTTTAGCGAGTACCACACAGTCTGGTTCTCGGATATTCCACTACTAGAGTAAGCAATTGTAGCAAAAAAAAGATAGAAAATTGTTTCAGATGAGTTTGTTAACAATTATCATGGTCCTACGAACTGTGAAGTTACAGCCACTGACACCAACCATCTTAACTTTGCCATAACCCAGTAGACATCACCCAATATCCTAAATATGTCTCTCAGTAAACCTCTTCTCTATAGTTTGGAAGGTATGGTCAATGCACTTTTGGTCCCATTTCATTAAGACCATCCTAACTTTGTAATAACACAGTAGACACAATCACACAACGTATTTTATGGTGAAACACCACTTCGTAGCTCCAAAAGCAAGGAACGCTATTTCCCTGTATTCACTGATCTCATAATCAAGTGATTGTCTTAGTTGCTTGTCTGGTTGTTAGTGTACAGTAATATACAATAGTGGCGACTCAGCGATAAACTTCAGGGCTTATAACAGTAAATTCCAGGACTTGATCCCTGCGGCGGACATAACGCATAAAATAGAACACACGTTCAAACTTCATAATAAAGACAGGGAATTGTGACTTACTGTCTTCACGGGTAATTGTAATGATAAAACTTGTAAGATTGAATTAAAAAATTATGAGTAATTAGAAGAAATACAGATAAGGAGCTTCGATCTATTCTACGCGACTGCGCATGTCTGCTGGCTTGTTTACACACAGCTTAATTATTATCCTTTTTTTGCGTGTACCTATTTAGTAACCAGTTTTTATGTGGCATAATCTGGCAAGTTGAAAACTATTTTGTCACATGGTAAACATTGAAATTGTCAATTACACTGTCTTCTCTGATAATCATAAAAAAAAACACCTGGGACGCAATAGTGTATCTGCATATTCAATGAAAATAACTGCTAGATATTAGTATTCTTACCTTTGGTTTATTCGAAAAAAGAAAGTTTCAGAATATCCTGTTATCATCCTTGTTTTATCTGCTGCTCGAAACTAAGAAATAATCTTCAACTGCTTTCTAGCTAACCCTTCAAGGTACTGCCACCTGATAACTCATGCAACTTGTGGAATGTAGACACTAGCACTAGTCAAGCTGCTTTGTACGTCTCCACCCCTCCAACTCAGGAAGTCTCACAGGAAGCTGAGAAGAGGCCTAACAACATGACGTCATTGACAATGATGTCCATTAAGTTTAAAATCTCCCGTTGTTCCAGCAGGGTTCGTCCCTTAGTTAAACTACTACACAAGAATGTTATGAATTCTGTAACATACACTAAAATATAAACTTTTGAAGTTCGAACACACAACAACAAACACCTTAAACACTGTACATCATAGAAAACAGTGACACGGTGGTTAACCATTTATAACAGTGACACGATGGTTTACTATTTAAAACAATGATACGGTGGTTAACTATTTATAACAGTGACACGGTGTTTAACTATTTATAACAGTGACACGATGGTTAACTATTTAAAACAGTGACACGATGGTTAACTATTTATAACAGTGACACGGTGGTTTACTATTTAAAACAGTGACACGGTGGTTAACTATTTAAAACAGTGACACGGTGGTTAACTATTTAAAATAGTGACACGGTGGTTAACTATTTAAAACAGTGACACGATGGTTAACTATTTAAAACAGTGACACGATGGTTAACCATTTATAACAGTGACACGATGGTTAACTATTTAAAACAGTGACACGGTGGTTAACCATTTCAAGAATAGGTCATTTAGTTCAAATATCGCTTTCCTTGTGAAAGTCGATTGCCAAAAATGTTAGGTATGGTATTCAGTTAAAGGTCGGTTAATTAGAACTTTGATTATGTTAATAATAGTGTACAATTTAAGGTTGTTTACTTAAAGCATTGACCACATTAATTACAATGTTCATTTTAGGGTCGCTTACTTAAAGCATTGACCACGTTAATTTTATAGTGCCCTGATTACTATCGGTTTGATAACTCTGACTACAGGCTCTGTCCCAGGGACCGACCTCGTAAACATTTTGTGCTTGTCATAGTTTTAATGCTATAATTTTTAATACAGTATGCATATCTTCACGAGATTTTGTAGATTATCAGTAAACATTACAAGGCTTTGTACGCAAAATGTCATTTTTTTATTAACTTTTGAGATTTTTTAAGTAATGTTTTTTTTCATGTATTTTTTTCTTTTGGAATGTTGACTATACAACATGCAAAGTAATTTTGATTTTAAGATAAATACTTTTATGCATCAGAAAATTTCCAAATTTCACATGCGAAATCTTTATAATCTCCAAACATTATTAAACGTTTTTCTTTAAGATAAAACTTTATATTTTATCTGTTATCTTCACCACTTCATCTCTTACCGGTTCAGTAGATTTGACCAGCCTCGTAAGAATTAGGAAATAAATATAAATTAGGCTTTTTTCGTTTTAGAATGACTACAAATTATGACACTGTCATGATATAAAAGACCGTTTAGTGTAGATATTATTGAGTAATTTATTTTGTGAGGAATATTTTATGATTGTTTAGTTGTTTTTAATAATAACAGAGTTAAAAGCAGACGATTGTTGGAAGTTGTGTTTATAATTGATTGATGTTGAGACTATCGAACGTCGCGTGTAATACATTGACGTCGAGAATATAGAGATTTCGGGCAGACGATTAAGTGATAAACATATAAATAGTGAGACATGAGGGGAAACAATAAACAGACAGAGCAGACGAGAAGGTAAATTCACGGAAAATAGAAGTGCGCCCAAAGAAAGGGTTAGAAAACGTAAAGTTAATTGTCGTAGGAGTGGATAGCTTAACGGTTGATATGTTAAAAAGATATTAACAGTTTTCTGACACTTTAGGAGAATTAGTTGTCTCATCAAAGGGTGTTCTAAAGCAACTGAACCTGCCTTTGTGGACTCTGACAAAGAGCAGACGATTATTAGGAGTAGGCCTAAATACGAAAAAGTAAATGAGTATCGGAAGTTCGGGATAGAACTGCAATAATACACGGATCATTAGTGCGATAGAAATAGAGAAAGGTAGTTCGGCTTGTCAGCTGAAATTCTATAGCACTTGAATAGGCCTAAGTGGACTTTTGACAATAAGAGAACTATATATAATGTTTATGATATTCCTATGATCTCTACAGTGTAAAGAATTTGTTGTGCATACGTTTAACCAGTTCGAATATATACACAGCGTGGTCACAAGTAAATAGACACC